AGAGAGAGAGAGAGAGAGAGAGAGAGAGAATTTTAAATTTATTTTTTTTTAGTTTTCGGCGGACACATCTTTGTTTGTATGTGGTGCTGAGGATCGAACCCAGGCGGCGCGCATGGCAGGCGAGCGCGCTGCCGCTTGAGCCACATCCCCAGCCCCATGTAAGACTTCTAAAAAAAGTCACTGAAAATACTTCTAAAGCAAGCAGTCGGTATAAAAGACATATCAAATTCTTTCCCTGCAAGATCTATTATTTAATAGTTTTTAAATTAAGCTGCGTCTCTACAAGAAACTGCAATGCTGTATTCAAGCTCAAATATTTCCCAGGCTATTTAAATATTACTCCTTCCAAAAGGAGTAATATTTAACTACATTCCTGGAATCTGTTTTCTCCCATATATTTGTTAATTCCTATCTTATACAGGAAATACCTTACTAAATGTATTTCTGTCAGTTCTAATATTTCTTTCGGCTGCAACTTTTTCTTCCTAGGCAAAAAATTACAATAAAAAAGTATGAGTGACCTTTCACATCTGCTATTAAGTCTGGCACTCTATCAGTCTGGCACTATTCTCCGGTGTTAGGAGACGGAAAATAAGAAATACAGCTTCTTCCTACTACAGTCGGGACTCCATTGATACATACTGCAACATTATAATCTATTTACCTCTGCTCTGAAAATGTATCCTTAGTGGTTAGTTAACCACTTAGCCAGTAACATTTTTGAGAAAAACAATTTATCTTCCTGGGGGCAAAGTTTCTAACTTCAAATACACAGTGGATCCTGTTTATTATTTCTAATGAATACTTTCTCAATGAGGCCTGCAGTGGGTGGGGTTACCTCTAATTTAAAACTGCTTAGGTCACCCTAAGAGTGTGCATTTATACTACAAGCACCTACAAAACCACTAGGGTTTTTTTTTGTTTGTTTGTTTTTTAAAGTACAGGGTATTGAACCCAGGGACAATTTACCATATGGCCCATAATCCCAGCCCTTTTAAATTTTATTTTTTATTTTGAGGCAGGGTCTCACTAGGTCGCTTAGGGCCTCGCTAAGTTGCTGAGGCTGGCCTTGAATTTGTGATCCTCCTGCCTCAGTTTCCCAACTCACTGGGATTATAGGCATGCGCCACATTGCCAGGCTACTACCACAAGATTTTTAAAGGCGTTTCTCAGTAGCTAGTGTTCTCTCTCTCTCTGAAACAAAACTCAACTTCGTGGGGTAACAGTGGAAAGTGGAGTAGTAGAGGGGAAAAAAAAAAAAAAAAAAAGAATGACACAAATTCTATGAGAATTCTTCCAGTTTTAGGATCCGATCATTTTAGAGACTGATATAATTTCTGACTGTGTGTTTCCAGACTAACAAATTTTGCAGGGCTGGACTAAATGAACTTGATGCTTAAGGAAGAAAACGTTCTGCTTGACGCTTTTTCAAACTAGCCCGCCCCCTTTTACCTCCCAAACCGAATATCACCTCCCACCCTACCGCAGGATGGGACAGGCGGGATTCCGCCCAGTGTTTCAAAATCAACACTCACGAATGAAGAGGAACCATTCTCCCTGTTTGCAGCTGCCTCAACCAATATACTCAGACATTTAACTGTGGCGTCCCCTGCTTCCTCCGATAGTCCAGGCTCTTCCATCGCAATCGCTGGTTTTCCTTCCGCACTGGGACTCTAGCCCAGCCGCAGACTGGGAGACACGCGCGCGGCTGCTGCACCGTCCGAAATCATCACGCGTGCTCCCTCCCACCCTCTCCACTCCCAAAGAGACCTTGTCCAGTGATTGTTCCGCACCCAGTTACCTACTCCAAGGTGTGGGGAGAATAAGGGAACAGGAACCAAAGAAAAAAGGACGAGCGTGAAGCAGCAACCTCTGCAGATACCGGTGGCACGACTTCAGACACCGGCGCCTCTCGCGGTGCTAAGAGGATGTGTACGCGTCCTCCTCGAGGCATCCGTAGAAATCCCGCCGCTGACTTGGCCTTAGATGATTACCTTCCGGGTCGCAGTGCGTCTAGGGTGAAAGCCGAGCCATAAACTCAAGTTCCTCTCTTACACTTCTACAATCCCTCTTCCCGGATTCAAATGCTTTTTGCGTGTGCGTGTATTAAGAGTACTCCCACGACTGACCTCCGCCTGCTTTTCTCCTATTGCCTGCCAGCCTTACCGACCGGAAGAGTCTTCGAACCGAAATATCTCGGCTGGCACTTCCGGAAGTGCAACCTAGGGTTCCGGGAGAGTGCTGGCAGGTGAGGGAAAAGTAGGGACGGAGGTAGCTGGAGGATGAAGAAGGAGCAGGTGCTGCACTGTCAGTTCTCCGCGTGGTACCCGCTTTTCCGAAGCCTTACCATCAAGAGGTAAGATGGGAGACGTTAGCCCGGGCTACTGACAAAAGCGAACTGCGGCCTTCGGGCAAATCCCATCTCCGTCCAAAGGAGTGCAGGCCTTGTAACGACCGGATAGGAAAGACGAGGTCGATTTCTTAGTGGTATTTGGAGTAGGGAGACTGATGAAGGTCAGCATTTGCCGGCGTCCCCTTGCAAGTCTAGGAGTGTGCTGGGGGAGGTAGGAGGGTGGGTCCTGGTTCAGTGAGGGTCGGAGGCGGGCCGAGTGCTCGATTTACCTAGGGTAGGCCTCGGAGTTTACTAGTACTACTTGAAGAATTGCCAGAGGCGCCAGGCGATCAAGAGAACTGGACAGTCTGGGATTTGCTACTGACCTGCCCGCCCGGCTCCCATGGCTTTCCGCCACTGTAGAGTGAGAGCAATTTATACAGACCCTACCTCCAAGTCTGTTGTGATGCTCCAGTATGATAGTGTATATGGAAAGAGTTGTGTATGCTGTGAGAAGAAGCAGTCTATCCGGAAAAGAAGTGGAGCCGTATTTGTTTCATAATTCTCTTGACCCCAGTTTGCAGGACAGGCAGAAGATTAGCTGTTTCATCCTTTGTCCCATCATTCATGGTAATGTATGGCAAGGCAGCCAGGAGCCTGTCCCCAGCCGTTCAAAAACAATCATAAGTCTGAAGCATGATACAGGGTAGGCTCTCACTCGCTAACAGGGGTAGATCCAAGGCCTGGGTTCCTGTGAATGGGATTTTCTGTATTTTGCTCACTTCTTCTTCTCCTTCTTCTCCTCCTCCTCCTCCTCCTCCCCCTTCTCTCCCCTCCCCCCTCTCTCTCCCTCCTCCCCCCTCCCCCCTCTCTCTCCTCCCCTCTCTCCTCCCCCCCTCTCTCTCCTCCCCCC